AAGATTCGCGTTAAATATCGCATGCGATTAATCGTGCAGCCCTAGAAATAACTGACTTAAAACAATTTTTTGGCTGGTGAAAATACTGGTGTTCTAATAATTTTGGCCACCACTGTATATATAAAACTTAAAAAAAAAAAATGTAATACTTTTATTCAACAAGGATGCATTTATTTGCATTAATCAAAACTGGCAGAAAAGATATTTATAATGTTAAGAAATATGTCTATTTTAAATAGGCTAAAGTTCTTTTGAACTTTCTATTCGTCAAAGAATCCTGAAAAAGTGTCATGATTTCAACAAAAATATTAAGCAGCACAGTTTTCAACAGTTATGATAATAAGAAAATATTTCTTGACAACAAATCAGCATATTAGACAGATTTTTGAAGGATCATCATCCTTTTGTATAAAAGCCTCATGTAAATCGCTATTTAAAAATGGAAATAAACATGTCTGTTAGAGATGATTATGATGTATATAAAAGGAGGCAGAAATATCCAGCTTCATCTGATGCAGGTGGGGTGGTTTACTGGCAAGAGGCTGTTGTTAATAAGTGGAGTGTCAGAGCAGTCAAGCACACTCTGGCCAAAACTCAGTAGAGGGATTGCTTCCAGCACCGGCTCCCATCTGAAGCCCAGCAACTAGCACATCAGTTTCCATGGCAACAGCATCTCTTAGCCAATGGCCAAGAGGCTACAAACTATCCTCTCAGAACACCCTCTTGAACGATGTTTATCTGCTTACGTGCATGACTGACTAACTGACAGAGCGATATAATGAGAGACATCATGACACCTGGTCCACAGCTGTACGCGTCTGAACTGAATCATTCCAGATAGACACACCTTGTAATCTTTCTGTTGAGAATTTCTTCAGCTCCGCGGCATCGCAGTTACAAACGTCCGTCACTATTCCAAATGCAAACCCTGGGAGTTTGCATAACTTTGTCACCTTGTCCATGGTCAGCCACACACGGGACTGACACACAGGACAGAGTGAACAGCTAAAATCTACACTCAAAAGTGAATACGACATCATCATGAAACACAATTATTATATAAGCTGGTTTTAGACAAGGAGTGGTTGGCTCATACATAAGATTGGGTTGGGATGCACAAAATGGACATCACATACTAATATGTCAGTACTTAAAAGGATAGGCCACCCAAAAATGAAATCTCTGTCATCATTTACTTACCCTCATGTCAAATCTTGTGGAAAACACACACACACACACAAAAATATTTTAAACCGTATGTGTCCATACAATGGAAGTCGATGGAGTCCAAAATGAAAGTCAAGCCATTTTTATTTATAGTGCACTACACTATACAGATTGTTTCAAAGCAACTTCACAGTAATAAACAGGGAAATAACAATCAATTATGCAAACATCTTTAAATATGAGACAAATCCAAATTTTGCTTTAAAGCAGCTCTAAAAAATGTCATTATTCAGCTCAAGTCGGTTTGGTTCAAATTCAATAACTGTGTAAAGTTCATTAGCTACGAAACGAGTTCAATTCAGCTATAACAGGATTTCTGCAGGTTTTATGAAGGTAAATACAAGACTTTTAAGACCCTTTAAGACCAAGTAGAGAAAATTTATGGAATAAATTGAATGGAACACAAAACGTCGATATATTCTCTAAATGTACATGTCTTGTTTTCACAATGTTTCAAACTTTGAAAATACAACTTCAACAGATTTCGATTTTACAGATTTTTGTTCTTGTTTTAAACATGAAAATAAGACTTCATAAGTTCATTTTGCATCTTAAGTAGATATCTTGTATCTTGATTTAAGGATGTTTAGATATTTATATTGAGAAAAAAAATACTGAAGAAGGTACTCTTTTTTTTTTTTGCAATGCATGCAACACTTAATGCCATAACTTTATGAATTTGTTTTGCTCCGATTTAAGATCTTTTAAGGCCTTTTAAGAAACCCTGTATTAGCAGCTCTACAGAAGACAACAGTGTCGTTATTCAGCTCAAGTTAGTTTAATATTGATCCAGTTCTAGGGATGTTAATTTGAACCGTTTAACCGGTTAAAGGCAGAGTAAGTGATTTTTCAA